AAAATTTCAAAGGAATCGGTAGGAACAAACGAACATTACATTTTTATTTATATAGATAGATAGAAGATGATCCGCTTTAGTTCATTTTCACAGAAAAGCGTAATGCCTCGCAGAAAAGCAAACTTAGGGCGTCGTACTCGTAGCGCCATCTGTTGGACATAAAAGCCTTAACCTAGATTATATATTTTAATTTATATGAATGTTTAACGGAATAATATACAGCCTATGTCCACCCTGAGGTTCCATTTTAAATATTGGTGAAAGAATTTTTGAAATCGGATGAGTAGTTTCGGAGATTACCTGCTGCAACGAAACTTACATACATACAAACATTATCTCTTTATATATTAGTATAGATATAGATGTACATAATATTTAATTTTTAAAACATTATTAAAATATTTAATTCCTCATTTAGATAACAATGATACCAGAATAAATGAATCATGCTTTGGAGAAAGTACTCATATACTGAAAATGAAATTTTTTACAAAATATACTAATTTGAACACAGAAAGCAATTGGATTAAAAGGTAATTTAAATATTAAGGTTTTTTCATGTTACATTTATTTATATGTCTAAGTAATAAACTATATTTTTGTAAGATTTTTATTCAGTTTTAAAATGAATTTATCAGTAAAATTTTGTTGATATATATTTATAACTGAGTTTGAGAGGGGAGGGATCGTTGGGTTGAGAGAAGCCAGATGGTCATCTTGCTGAATAGCCCACCACCTAGGTTATTTTGACAATACTGTGAGGAAGTGTTGAGACCAGTGGACAAGAGAGAGCTCATATACATGGTGTCCAGGCTCAGGACACCCTTGGCAGACTACCTGCCTGACAGGACTGCTGGATCCCCAACAAGCATGCACATAGACAACCATATTGTTGTCTTCAATCCAGACACAGGTGTTGCCATCAGTACAGGTTTACACACATTTAGTGGAGCACTCCCTCTGACCTGTAGCATTAAATGCTACTGGCTTGAGGTACTCCTCTTTTAATTAACCTGCTTCGCATATTCTTTGCAGGTCATCAGTACAGGTTCCCATGTCTGTCGATACCATGTTAAGGTGCCTGAGTGAGGAAAATATGGCATTGCAGCTGCCATTACATGTGCTACTGTTGACAGCCCCCCTCTGTCACTTCCATTTTGAGTGGTATCACTCCCAATGGGATTGGACCACAACAAAATGGAACCAGTTTGTCTACAGCAACGAATCCAGATTCATTCAATTGCCTTTGCAAGATGACCTTAATATGTCCTTATTTTATACTACAGTCGAGTCCACATAAGTCATCATAGGTATAACTTGACACCGTCGGTTAAATAGTCAGTTTTCTGTGGTCCTGGCCGACTTACATAGGCATTAATGTTAAAAAGCTCTGGTTTGCTTGACACCGTTTAACTAGTCACCACTGGATAAATTGACACACTTTTGCTGTTCCACATCATTTAGACATCTGATAAGTTGACTCCCCTCCTGAAAAAAATGAGTTTACACCACATTGTGTGGTGTAAACTCATTTTTTTCAGGATGGGAGTTGACTTATTTATTAATATATATATATTAATAAAAATGCCTTAATATTTTGTGTATTTTTATATATAAAATAATAACAGATAAACAAAAAGAAAATATACAATCTATATCAACATCACAGAAGAATCTGATTTTGCATTTTCTCACGTCAAGTGTTATTTGTAGCATATGTTTCACATTTCTGTTAGAAATGAGTGTCTGAAAGCTAACAATGCTTACACCAAAGGAAAAATACAAACTTGTGTCTGAATTTGAATATAAGAAAACTTCACAAGCCGAATTTGCAGAACAAAAAATTCTTTCAAAAACAACATTAGTGGGAATCCTGAAGAAAGAGCAAATTAAGAATCTTTTTCTTGGATTTTCGTTGCGGCTGTCTTGAAAATGCCAGAGAAAGTCGCCATACAAAGATGTCAAAGATACTCTTGTAAAGCAAATTTGTTCATTGAATCTTCCTGTTTCGGGATCGATACTGAAACAAAAGGCGATGGAAATTGCTGCAGTACTTGGAATAGAAACCAACTTTAGTGCCAGTGATGGATGGTCAGAGAGATATTGTACATTGCACTACTGTATTTTCCTAATTGTAGTATTGTGTTTTTTTTTTTTTTTTCAACTTTGCTTTAGTCGTCATATCAGATAACTCAACACATTTTCACTTTCCCTTGGGGTGTCAACTTATGCAGACTCGACTGTATTTTATTATATTATTTGTCTGCTTAGGACTTAGCGTATTATTAGGAGTTATTATACTAGTGTTCCATTTCTACGAAAGGAGAAAGTCTTATTAAAAAAAAAACAATCACCTGGTATTTCAGGTGAACTACCAAGTGAAAAATAAAGATCGTTTTTTCACCTTGTTTTTTCAATAAAGATAATATGCTAAGTCCTAAGTAGACAAATAATATAATATAATAAAATCCAGATTCAGTTTGTGTACTGATGATGGCCATATTTGTGTCTGGAGGCTCCGTGGTAAATGCTTCAATCCTGTCTATGCTTTGGAGCAGCACACCACCCCTGCAGCTGTTGTGATGGTCTGGAGTGACATCACAAACAATGGCTGGTCACCTCTTCTAGTGATCCAAGGGGCCATGACAGCCCAGCAGTATGTTAGTGACATCCTGCAGTCACATATGTTGCCTTTCATGGCAGGGCTCCCATGAGCCATTTTTTAACAGGGCAATGCTCGACCCCATAGCAAGAGTGTCTCAGGACTGCCTCTGTCATATTGCCACACTTCTCTGGTCTGCCCGGTACCCCGATTTGTCACCAATCAAACATATCTGGTTCACCAAATTAGACAGACTAGGAGTTTGGCCGAACTAGAGGACCACTTGCAACAACTGTAGACTGAGATGCTGCTGGACATCATATAGCATCTGTATGCCTCCATGTCTGCCTGTATCACCTCATGTATTCACACTAGAGGTGGCTCAACAGAGTACAGTACTAGAATCTCCTTTCATTTGTAGTTTTTCTTACAATAAATGATCCTTTTGCTTTTATTTTGTAATCACTTACTTGTATTGCTGTTACACTCACACATTTACAATTTTGTTAAATTCCAACTCCTTGGTGCACTAATTATGGTAACAAGTGTATAATGCATATTAAACACATTTTTTTTAATATTTGTTTTATTTATTATTATACAGGGTATCTGAGAAAGATCTTTATTATTATACAAATTCATAACACGAAAACAAAAAACAAAGCAGCCTGTTGAAATATGGTTTATGGCAAAAGAGAAAATAAATCAGAAAGTTTTTTATTATCATAAATTTAATAAACCTCTGAATTCCACAGACTCCTACAGAACTTTTTTTTCTAACCTCTTCCGCTGCTCAATGTTGAAAGTGGCCATAATCTTTCAAGTGCTAAACATTTCCACTGTTTTTAAATTTCTGTATCTAAGCATAAATTGAAGAGACACTTTGTGATGTCTTTTCATACTTCCTGTGATACTTTCTTTGTACAATTATGGTGATTTTGTTCAGCTAACCACAATATGTCATATTTTTTCCAATATTGTCATCATTTTTAATTCTGCACATTGCTAGCAGTGTTATAAACATTTATGCTAAAAACTTTTTGAGTTATTTTTTTCTTTTACTGCAAACCATTTTTCAATAGACCACTTCATTTTTATGTTATGAATTTATATAATAATAAAGATCTTTCTCATGCACACTATATAATAGAACAGTATTATATTCATTTGAAAAGTTAAATTTTGACTGTATATGACTATATATTTATCACAGAAAAAATTAATGATTTTTGCAATTTCCAAGATTCCTCAGTTTTAAACAAGATTTTTTAGAGAATTTTTTTAACAATATTAAAAAACAATCTTATTGAAATTACATTTTATGTTTATAGTACTTAAAGTATAATATTGTTAACTGTTATATGTTAAATATGTTAACTGTAATATAGTTTATTATGTTTAATAATTAATTTAAATTTATTTGTTACATTTAATTAAATTATTATTGAAATAAAGTACGTAATGGAGTTAACTTTAAGATTTTTGTAACTTAAATGATTATTAAGAATTGATAGAATTAAATAATAAATTAAAATTAAATTTTTCAGTGAACCTTTGTATCTTTTCATTGCAATAAATACAGGAATATTTATTATAAATGTTCAAAATGAAAACATTTCCTATTACAGTTTTAGAGGTAGGCTTGTTCTGCATATTAAAAATTTTTTATTGTTATCATATATTTTTAGGAGTTTTACTTTGTTTCTCTCAGATTTTAAATTGAATGATCAAGAACTTAAATTTCCCACAATTATAAGATCAACTAATATTTTTTATTCAGATGAAACAGTAAGAGTTACAATNAAATTATAAAAATCTATATTTATATTTCAATCATCCTATATAAATTCTACTATCTTGTACAACAGATGAATAGAACTGAAGGCAAATTTCACAATTATTAAAATAATTCCTTTAAGTAAAAATAGTAAAAAATAAACATGGCCGCCAGTTATTTACATTTAATAAATACACAATAAATATAAAACAACTTTTTCACAAAGATAAAACCTTTGCTTCTGTTTCTCTTCTGTCATTTTGCACCTGCCCTATATATATGTACATACTTTTGTTTATATTATTTTTCCACTGTCATTTTATAATATTCATATATTGTACTATTCATTATTTTTCTTATGCAACCATTTTGTAAACACGCTTACTAATTTTGATTATTCACTTTGTCTACAGTTATTTGTGATTTAGTTTTTATTATACTCTCACCGTTTTTTTTATTTTTTTATTTTTATTTTTTTTATTTTTTACTAGTTTTAATGATTATTGTTTTGTATTATTTTATTACATCTCATTCAACTGCTGTAATGTTATTGCATAATTTCCCACACTTTGTAATTCATCTGTTATCTTGTTTTGTAGCCTGGCTATGCCTTACGGTACCGAGCATGTACTTCTATGGTGCCTTAATAAAAAGATTGATTGATTTGATTGATTGATTGATTGTCATTTTGCACCATCAGCAGTCCATAAAAATTCACAAAAATATGGAGAAGACCTTCCTTTTTAGACTACTTCTTCCATAATAAAAAATGCAAAATATGGTAAAAGCATCCTCTGGTGCTTCTGCCACTGTCACAATAATAGTAAAATGGACTGCTGATGATGCAAAACAATGGAAGAGAAACAGAAGCAAAGGTTTTATATTCGTGAAAAAGTTGTATTTATATTTATTGTATACTTATTAAAAATAATTTCTGTTGAGAATATATCTGTTTTGATTTTATATTTTACATAAATAAATAAATTTAGATTATGATAACCTGTATAAATTATGTAATTTATAAGAATATACATTTTTGTTAAAGTCAGACATTCGAGGCACGTTCAAATGAAAGTGATTCGAAACGATGCATGCGAACAGTTTTCAATGTATTTTCGTGAAACAAACGCGATAGTGAAGGTTTATGTACCACGCATGCATGTGTGCAACCAGATTTGTGATAACTTCATTCGTAAGGACATGGAATTCATTTCAGAATGGCTGGTGTGGATGCAACTGCATCCAAAACAGATCAGCGAGCTGTAATTAAGTTTTTAACACTGGAAGGGTGTAAGCCGGTGGATATTCATCGCAGAATGCTGGCTGTGTACGGTGGCACGTGTGTGTCAAAGCCCACGATGACGAGGTGGGCGAGAATGTTTAGCGAAGGTCGACACGAGACACCCAGTCAGTGGCCCAGTCAGGCTCACAAAGTTGTGACAGAGAAGCTGATTACAGACATTGACACTGCAATCAAGGGAAATCGACGTCAAAACGTTCGTGATGTCGCAAATGAGTTAAACGTTTTCACTGGTAATGTTCACAATATTGTCACCAACATTCTGAAGTATTGAAAAGTTTGTTGCCAATGGGTACCACGCATGCTGTCTGAACACCACAAGAAACAGCAAATGGGCCTGAGTTTACAGCATTTGTTGCGCTACAGGGATGAGGTGACGACTTTCTGCAGCACATAGTGGCAGGGGATGAAACCTGGTGTCACCACTTCCAACCAGAAGGGAAGTCCGTCAGTATGCAATGGAAACATCACGGCTCACCTAGGTCCAAAAAATTCAAAACTCAGCAGTCAGCCAGAAAGGTGATGTTGATGGCATTTTTTGACATGCAGGGACCCCTATTACTGGAGTTTAAGGAGCCAAATATCTCCATCAATGCCCAACGGTACACCCAAACACTTGATAAGCTGCATAAGGCTATCAAAAACAAACGTCCTCGTATGCTGTCACCAGGTGTCATCATTCTGCACGACAATGCAAGGCCACATGTTGCCAAGGTGTGTGTCGAGGCACTGGCCCGTAAAAAGTGGGAAGTCCTGGAACATCCAGCTTACAGTCCAGATCTGTTGCCTTGCAACTATCACATCTTTGGACCTGAAGAAAAGTCTAATAGGTCAACGATTTCACTCTGATGATGACGTAAAGGCTGCAGTTCTGAACTGGTTCCACGATCAACCTACATCGTTCTTCGTGGACGGAATTCGTAACCTTCCTAAGCAATGGGACGCCTGTCTAAACGCCATGGGTGATTTCTTTTAACAAACTTTGTATGCATTTCACTCATTAAATATTGTTTTTTCTATCTATGTATCTGTCTTATTTCTGTCCCTACGCATCTTATGGATACACACCTTGAATCACTTTCATTTGAACACCCCTTATAGTTTAATAAAATAAATGTAATATGAGAATCCAAACTAATTTTTCTGGTAGTTAAATGTTTTATTCCTTTGTTTTGTTTTATTCGTTGTGATTAATTTTAATAACTTTTTAGTATGTTTTAATTTAAATTGTTCGATTCCATAACATTCAAATTCCATTGCAAGAATTTTCTGCAACTGAATCAGGCCTGAAAAAGGCCAAAATAATAAGGAAAAGGTGGTATGGATTTCTAATTTTATAACATGATGCCAAGATTTTGCAATGTAAAGTAAATCTAATGCAGAATTTAGTTTCATTTTTTCAAAAATAACACTATAAATTTAAACTAGAAATGTAAATTATATTTATTCATTAAAATTTTTTATTTTTATTAATTTGACTTTAAGTAACTTATATGTTGATGTTATAATTTGAATATAAATTGATCTAAATTTATTATTTTCTAAATTAAGATTAGTGTTCCAATTTAAAATTGCTAATAGAATTAGAATATCAATCTGAATTGCTTTTATTTATGTATCAAATGTTAAATTAGAAACATAAGTATTAAGAAAAATATACAAGTAATATTTTTAAACATGTATTTCAAATTAATATTTTAAAATTAATTTTTGAAAAACAATGTTAAAATAAGATTTCATTAAAATTTTTTATTTTTATTAATTTGACTTTAAGTAACTTTTAGGTGCTTTATACTTTCAGGTGTTTTTAATACAATAGTTTTACTCAACTTATGCAACATTACATCTGCAGTTTATAAAACTCCAGTACAGTAGTTTTATGTATCAGAAACAAATTTTATATTTAGATTGGTTATTTTATATATTATTGTATTTTTGTGGAATGACCAGCATGCCGGTTTAAATTAGGCTATACATCCCTCTCTAGAGGGCGCATTAAAAAAAACGAATAAGTTACGTCAAGTAAAAACAAATGAGTTTTTATTCTAAACTGTCAGCATTACATCAAAAACTACCATTATATATTTAATTTCTTAAGTTTTTGTTCTTTCTAATGAGGTTAAATTATCTTGGAATTCCGAAAGTGCTTTTTTTTATGTGTATTTTATTGTTATTTGATTCATAAATGTAAAAATAAGCATATTAAATTTAAGAAACTCATTGTAAATTATAAAACAAAACTTACTCTAACATCTTGTAAATGTGCAGCCGAATTTATTAACTTCTAACATTTTCGGTCATATTAAATTACCTTTATCAAGAAAAACAGTAAAAGTCGAACACTTAGCACCTTTACAAACACCGAAACCTTTACAAACAGGTCATTTAACATGACCAAAAATGTTAGAAGTTAATAAATTCGGCTGAATATTTACAAGGTGTTAGAGTAAGTTTTGTTTTATTGATTAATATGCAGTCTCTGAGGAATTGTAAATTATCTCAACTTATGTCCATTAACATCAGCTTTGTGTGAATTTCAGAGAAAAGTGATATTTTTAAGGTGGAGCCCACACCAACTACCACTGTCACTACTACTAATGTCAATAAGTCGTTAATTTTCTTATTGTCTTGTAAAGGAAAATGCTTTTATTCTTGCGAGCGCTTTCGATGTAAATATGCATGTCGTCTTCAGGCAATTCAAAAACAAAATTCGAAAGCGCTCGCAAGAATAAAATATTTTAATTATATTTAACGCCTCATAGTCTGAAGTTTTGGAAGAAGTTTTAATTGAGATAACTGTTGGCGTGACATCCAACCCCAGTACTTACTACTCCTAAAAAGAAAATGCTTTTCCTGATTTTAAGTTAGTCAAATTACAGTGTTATTATTTTATTGTACTCAAAAGAATGTTTTCTTTAATGTTTAATTAATAACTAGTTTTGTTACATCTGATTAATTTTATTTTTTAGTTGCAGTTTAACTGGCATGCTGGTTTCCCTCATTTATATGTGACATGTCAAGCCAGTTATTCCACGAAAATATGGTACCAATATAGGTCAAATTTGTTTTAACTCTCAATCTTATGAACATAAGATCTTTCAATATGTCCATCATATGACCACATCAGCTATATCTAGGTCAGATAAACTGTAAGAATATATGAATCATACCTGTACTTGAGCCTAGTTCTCTTAGAGTTTTTTTTTTTTCGTAACTCTTTCTGCCCTGTGGGAACTAACAGGGTCTCTTTTAGCAAGCCCATTATGGATTTTGCCAGGTACACATTGGGGTGGCTGGGTGATGAGGGATGGAGCCCAACATATCCAGATGGACCAACCCTGAAAAATTCCTGGGGATTTTTTGAAACGTTCAGATTTGATCCCGGGTTCCCCAGAGTGGTAGGCTGCTACCTTGACTGCTCTGCCATCCAACCCAGTTCTCTGAGAGTAGTAGACATATGCTTTAGCTATTTTAACCATCTAGTCATCAAATCTTTATTAAATTAGTACTATTAGAAATAATTTATTTTTGATATTATTTTAAATATATTCAATTTATTATTATTTTGTTAATTAATCAAATGCATTCATATTAAAAATTTTATTTTGTAAATCTACAATATTATAATTTAGTTTAAAATATTTTTATCTAATAATAGATAAAACTTCAAAATCAAAAATGTTTCAGCCATTAACTTTTAAATCTAACATAAAATCATCTGGATATAATCAAGTTTCCAGGTAAGAAGAATTGAATTGATAAAGCATATGTTAGCATTTTTTTCTATTTCTAAAAATATCAATATTTTCCAAATTTTACAATACAATTTTTTCTTTTTAAATACAATTAAAAGAAGAAAACTTTTTCATCCTATTCTTAATAAACAACACAACAATAATACAATACTCAAAAAGAGATCCTCTTCTGATTTGGCTTGGAAAAAGTAAGTTTACTTATTTTACATTATTTTATAAATGTAATATCAAAACAAAACATTGAATTGCTTTCCAGAAAAGAAATAATCAAATGCTATTGGGAAAAGGAACCAAAACAATTATATTCTGAAAGATTAGAAAATTCAAAAAACTTAATTTTACAAACTACAGGTAAATTTTAATTTAATGTATTGAAATACCCTTCATAAAAACTATTCTTAATTTAGGTTTTAGTATTTCTTAATATTCTCTGTGAAAATAACATACAAAAATAAAATTACATATCTATTCTGAAATTAAATATTAATGTATTGTCAAATTATTTTGAATTACTATTAAATTATTCAATATTGATAATTTCACACCATACTAAACTGAGAATAAACTCAATAATTTGCATATTATTAGCATATATTATTTTAGTACCTACTGTAGAGTACTTGTTGTTATGGAGTATGTTGTTACTCATCAGGCTTAAAGTCTGAAATTCATAAGAAAAAATATATGTAGCCTACAAAGTTTCCTTGCAGCCCACATCATGAAAAGGTTGCTCACCACTGCTCTAGAATATAAGCTCCTTCATACATTAATTCAAAAAGTTAAATATAAAAACACTGACTGGTTTTATTTGTTGTCATTGATTATGGTTTCTGATAGGTTTAATCTCATTTAATTATTATCTAATATATCATGATATATTTTGGTTTCAGGTAAACCTACATTGATTATGATAGCTTGCAACATGATTGTGATAAAGCAGATGTTTCAACTTTTTATTCATGGTATTTGTTAGTTAAAAAAAACTCTTACTATTTATTTTACCTTAGCTTACATTATGAATCAGTTTATTTAATACTTCAGGTAAGACTAAATAAGTTTGGGATATGCTGTGATAATCAATTGTTGAATTATATCCAAATAACTGTTCTAATTGTAAAGAATTGAATCTATTACATATCCACCTACTTCTAAAGTGTAAATCATATTGATTATTAACCTTTTCCTTACCAATTGCCGTGCCCCCTTGTTTATGTTTAGTGTGTAAACAGCCCAAGGTCAATGTAGGTGAATCAGGCAATATTATTTTAAAAATCCACCAAAATAATTTATATATTCATATGAAAAAAATTATATATCTTTATCAATATATTTATTGTTAAATATGACATTTTTCAATAAATTTTATTTAAAAAATTTGAGGAAAAAAAATTTTATCATAACTGACATTCAAAGTTGAAAATTTGTTACTTTTTGTCAAAATTAACATTGTCCGGTTACTTCATTCTTATTGGCACTTGGCCAGAACAATGTAGAATATTGTTTTGTACAATTATATGTAACTTTTATGCATGTATGTATTTTCGTTTTCAAATTATCACACATTAATAAAAAACAAAAGTTATTATTTCAAGCAAATTTTTACTATAATCTAGTAAACTTTATTTTTGTGAAAATAAGCAAAAATTAAAATAGTTTTGATATAAACATAATCATTATAATACATACATATAACACGTTGATTTTTAACTCAAAATTTAACATTAATACAAAAAATAGGAAAAAGAGTAGAAAAAAAATGCATTTTTGATGCTGCCAGGTCCAAATCTGTAAGAGAGTATTTATTTATTGAATTTGCTGCAAAATGATAATGCAGATAAATATAATGTAGAATGTTTGATCAGAATTATATCACATACTTATCCTATCAGCAATGATGCTTTGGGTAACATTCAGGATGTAACTCCTTTAAATGAGTGCAGATTGTTCTCGATCTCCGTTTTAGTCCCATACTAGTGCAGACACAGCACCTTGATTCCTTTCCTTCTGGTAATTTTCTTAGTTCTCTCGAATCATTATAATACATACATATAACACGTTGATTTTTAACTCAAAATTTAACATTAATAC